ATAGTGGGCTCAGCACACGCCCCCTCCCATAGGTCGGTTGCGAAAAGGTGAGAAATTCGTTACAATCAATTCTACCTCAAATTGAGCAGAAAACGACGATCTCGTCATGACTATCGCTGGATGAATTTGACTGCTCATACATAAAGCTCTGTGAGCGATTGGTCGACTCGAAGCTGCGGGAGCTGGTCTCGACCAGGGTCAACCCTACCTTTGCTACTCTCTGGAAATTTTTTACGACTCCCCCCCTTTCATTGGTACGACCCCCCTTGTATGTGACACTTGTGTAGGGACAGTGTTTATCACCAATATTCATTTCTACGTAAGTCATCAAAGATGAAACTTTAGCAAAATCCACGACAGATATTCATCGCTGCTTCCAAACACGAAAAAATGAGATGCATTCAAAGATATCCGTGTACTCCAAAGGGTTACCAAACTAGGAGATGAAATAAACTGAACCAGTGACCGGAATATTGACAATATTACCTGATAAAAACTTATGAGAAGTCAGAAAAAATTATCGCTCCAATTGAAATACTGAAATCCTTCACGTTCTTCAATTGCAACACAATTTTTACACCCCTCTTTCTAAGGCTATAACTTCCTTCATATTCGAGCTTCTGCGCCGAAGTGATTTGATTTGGAAAATTCAAATTATTCTCTCTCCAACCATGGGTAAAAATTCTTCGAAAGTTAATTTAATAAAAATTTAGTACGTTGTTACTTTTTTCTGTGCAAAGCGACTTTTTGACCTTCAAACGATCATAACTTCCTTCAAAGTCATTCATTTGGGAAGCTGAACACGGTATAATAAACTACAGGATTCAAGCTTTCTAACGAGCACCCAAGCGTTCCTGAAAGATCAGTAGTTCAAAAATTAGTCCCGTTGTTACTTTTTTGGGGGTTTGCGTTACTATTTTTTTGGAACCGCGACTTTTTTACCTTCAAACGATCATAACTTCCTTCAAAGTCATTCATTTGGGAAGCTGAACACGGTATGACAAACTACAGGATCCAAGCTTTATAACGAGCATGCGTCTGCATTAGATCCTTTGCGTTGGTGCGCGCCATGCCTCGGGCCCCTTTAGTAACCAAGAATCCCACTGCCGGCCACCGAGAGAGTACGACCTCCCTCCAAGCTCAACTGAGTACGACCCCCCGTTGTTACTCGTAACAACGTAGGGTTGACCCTGGTCCCGACCCCCCCCCCACATAATAATCCGGGTCTATGCGTGAAAGGTCAACAATGGATACAATCTCATCGCCAGGCAAGTGATGGAGAAGATTAGAGAAAAGCGCCGACCCTGCCAGCTAGCCTTTCTCGACCTGAAGGCATTCGGCCGTCTACGACGTCTACGACGGCACACGAACAACGCGGCCTGGATGATGTGGAGGGAGTCCACTGGCGTCCTCTGTGATCGAAGACGTGCTGGAACATTGAATGGAGAGGTGTATCGGGCTGTGATAAGGCTTGCGATGCTGGCCCCTGAGCAAGAATCACGAAAGACAGCTGCACTCCACTGAGATGAGGATGCTGAGATGGGCCTGCCGTTGGACGCGACTGGACAGGGTCAGGAACGAGGATGTCAGAGCAATCATGCAGACTGCCTCCACCTGAAGGTGAGGAAGCAACGACTGCTATGGTACGGTTACGTGCTAAGGAGGCTACAGGACCGCGAGGAACCCAAGATGAGAGGTGAAGGGACGTTATCAGAAGGACCTAAGTAAAATCATGGCCACAGCTGAGATGCGCTGGACAGAACAAAGTGGCGACTAATAGAGATAGCAGGTCCCTTCGGCTGCCGGTACTGACGCTAGGGAGAAGAAGAAGAAGAAGCTCCGTGGCAAAAGCGGCGCCAAATGACGCCAATTTGGCGCCAGTGCCAAAAATGGATGTCACATCCGTGATCAGAACCCTCGATAACCCCTGTAGGATAAGTTTCAGCGAAATTTTTTTACCGGAATCGATTGCAAAGTTTACGAAATTGCTTGCAAGAATGACGAATTAAGCGTT